TGTATCAGCGACGCTCCATAAATTTAAACTAACTGGGTAGCTTCCTCACATGAAGGAATCCACGACCCTTGCTGGATTCGAACCCACAGCGATGTGGGAAATGTGATTTGAAGTCAATAACATTAACCACTAGGACATAGACTATCTTAACTTTACACGATTTTAGAATATGCTAAAGGGCCCGTCACACCATGACGTTCTGGTCAACGCTCTCTCTGAACGTTTCAATTCTTCAAGTTTTGAGGGTTATAGAACGAGGTTGACACATCTGCCGCGTGCTTAAGCGTATGACTTACGCATAACTAGCGCGTGTCTAACGCTCGAGAAGCGTGTAACATGACCAAGTAAGATATCCCTGAAACAAATAATCGTGTGCTAACTTGCCACTGGTGCGGGACGAGCGTCGTAAGCGCGTGACTATCGTCTAAATAAAGACAGAATAGCGTCTTGCTGTCGTGTTATTTTTTTACGGCCGAACGGGTACAAAACGCTGGGAAAGACAAAAAAGGGAAACAAAGTATTTACTAATTCTTGAAATTTTGAATAACAACTTGAATGATGTAAGTCAGTTATATTTAAAAAGCAGGACAACCTGGTTACCTTGAATGTTAAGTATTTTCCCCATAAAATCAAATAACTTCAGGGGCAGATAACAAAAAATACCGGCTTCGGTTTTCCTCAATTGTTTCGCTTAAAGTGTTTCTGTTATCATATTTTAGGCCAAGCATAAATTACATAATATAAAACAGTTAATTTTGAAAACTAGCCTATGCCTTTAAATTACGTATTTGTGCTCTATATATTCTTATATATTAATAATAAGAAAGTATTGAAACGTAGGAATTATAAATATTTGATATTTCAATCAAGGACACCGGTTCCATACACTATAAATAAGACTTATTTCGGTGAACTTCGCCTTTGGTTGTTAATCGCTGTTTTCGTAGTTTAGCACTTGCTTGTTCTTTTTAAACAAACTATTATAAAAACGTAAAGAAGAAAAAGATATTGAAAATAGATTTTTCTCATTGTACTTAATTGTTCATAAAAGAATCTTCAAAGCGAATTTCTTCACATCCGAATACAGTATGTTAAGCGTCAAGTGTTTCCTCACGATACTTATATCATTTTTTATTCACAAGCGAGTTCGGAAGAGTCGTTTGTTCTGTAGAAACCTTGACATTCTACAGTAATTCAAGTTTTAATGATAAGATATGCGTTGGTTCTGAAAAACATCTTGAAGTCTACGCCGGAAGTGCGATCTATTGCGCCCACCTATGCCGTTACAATTTTCAGTGTACGAGTCTGTTTTACGGCCCACACACCTCAACGTGTACACTTTGTAGCGGGCACGATGCTTTACAAAATCAGACAGGGACATTGTTTTATCTTACACAAAAAGGTATGTGTTAGAATCTTTTTACTAGACTTTTCACCATATAGATTTGATTTTTAAATAATTTATTTTCACAAAAAAATGAAATAAAATAAAAATGAAAAATAAATAAATATATGAATAAAAAAATAAAATAAATAGATAAAAAGAGAACAGGTACTCAGTACGATGGTCAGTTATTACAAAACACTATCAGATAATTATGCATAATTATATTTTAACTACAAAAGCATATGTTTAAATGTCAAAGAATTCTATCAACTGACCTCACCTTTACAAAACTTCTTTCCGAGATCAGTCTCAAATCTCAGGATTTTCATTGGTCAGTGGACATTCAGTGTCTGACCGATCAAAAAACCTCAGCTTTGAATTGCCTGACCTGGAGATGATAAATTTTTTTCTTCTTCTGATATCAGTCTCAAATCTCATGAGTTTTATTAATTGGTCAATATAAATTCGATGCTGTTTTTTTTACCAATCAAATGCCTGAGATCTTTGACTGAGATCTTTATCAACGAGACAATTCTATACACTCAGTTAAACCACGGATTTATATATATTTATATGTAATATAAATCCGCGGTTAAATCCACGTGACTAGGGAGAATATGAGAGCATATCATGTAACAAAACAAGACACAACATCAAAAATAAAATCTTCTTCTGTGGTTACCATAGTTTAAATATTTCATAATTTCTAACCCAATTTGGTGTTATGTCTAAGCCGGATAAGGATACTATTTATTAACCAGTAACAACAAGAAACAATGCCATTTAAGCAGCACGCCTCCAGATTCGTGCTAATTTTCATGAAAAATGTATTTGAATGCGTAATATTGTGAAGTTACCAAAAGGAAGCAATTTACACATCATCAATGGCACTTACGAACCACGTAAATTACCAAAAAGTGGTCAAAATATGCATAAATAGCCTCTACTGTGTTAGTAATGCAGTAGAAATATAGTTGTAAATACTGGAAAATTAGTAATTAATCGCACAAAATATGTAAAATATTACTTGAATCTTTGATCTTTTTACTTTTCCTAACATCTTAGTACTTTTTTCTCAAGTTTAACTTTATCTGGAGGCATGTAGCTTTAACGATAGCTTTTCATTTAAAAATATATTAAAATAAATAATTAATTAAAAAAATAAATAAATAAATAAATAAATAAATAAATAAATAAATAAAATAAATAAATAAATAAATAAATAAATAAATAAATTAATATACATGTATTAAATAAAATAAATAATTAAATAAATAATAAAATCTACATGGTAAGCCTAACTTCTTTATCCATAAGTATTCTTCAAATGTTGAAACTTTATTTGATGTTATTGTTTTATATATATAGTGCAAAAGATCACCTTATAGAATCATTAAAATTTTTCAAACAAGTTTGTACACTTTGTTAATTGTTTGTGTCAAAAAGGCGGTCGAAACGGCTTAGAATACACTTTTCAACCATAATTTAAACGTTGACCACTTCTAAACTTGTATGTTGAATATATTTATGTGGCAAAAGTTTTATATTTAATTAAAATTTCCTAAAATTGTTATATCAATTATGTCTAAAAGTTCTACATTTTTAAAATTGTTATAGCATTGCATTTACCTCTAAAACATTTTACATTTGCAATTTCTTTATATTATTGCAATTACGTCAAAACAGTTTCACATTTTTGATATTAATATATCATTGCATTTACGTCGGAAAAGTTCTATATTTTCAAAACTGTTCGATGATTGTAATAACGTTTAAAAAATTTACATTTTAAAATTGTTATATCATTGCAATTTCGTCTAAAATGTTCTACATTTTCAAAATTGTTGAATCATCAGTTGTAAAAGGTTCTACAGTCCTTAGATTGATGAATAGTTGCAATTACTTGTAAAAGTTCTACATTTCTAAAATTGGTGATTGATTGCAAATTACGTGTAAAAAGGTCTGCATTACTAAAACTGTTAAATGTGTGTAATCAGAGTGAAAAATGTGTAAAAAGTTCCACTCATCTTCAATCATTGATATTATATGAAGAAACAGAAAATTTTATCTAACTTATAAATTTACATGTATCTCGTTATACATGAACTAGTTATACATATAAAACATTTTGTCACGGTTGGTATTCAAATGAATGAGAATAATTAATGTTTCAGTTTATACAATATGGAGAATAAGCTCTAATAAATATGAACGAGATATTGAATAACAGCAAATTTTCACTATTATCGCTTTGTTTGGATCATTTGTTCTTACTGACCCATTTTACTCAGTACAATTTCAATGAGCATTTGAAAACTGTATTGATATATACAAATGTAGCAGTACAGTTCTTTTTTTTCATTGAACCATATAGGAAAAAAACTGCTATATAGCAGTTTAGTTTTTTTCGCACCATGGATATATCGGTATAGTTATTTCACGGTTTCAGCGGTAACGAACATTCCCAAGTAGTAAATAAATAAATAAATTAATAAAAAATATATAAATATATAAATGAAAGAAATATAAAAATCAGAAGGAAAGAAAATTAGTACTCAAGGTACATCTAATGAATTATTACCACTGAAAAAGCTCTTAAATTTTGAATCAACATGCTATCCGTTTACAATCCGTCTCTTTCATTGGACGTTATTATATATAGCTGGAAGGTAGCTTACGACATCATTAGCTGGTATAGGTTCATATTAACTGGAAGTAAGGTAATCAAGTGAAAGGGAACAATTATGCATATTTTTTTGCTTGTTGTTGTTGTTTTTTTTTGCGATAAAACCGTTAAAGTATATGAAGCTCGTTAGTTACGGAGGTATAACACTGGCCGGGCGACATCTCGGGATGTTTCTGCAAAATAATTGTCTCGGGCTAACGGCCTTGACATTTTTTAGCAGAAACACCCCTTGATGTTGCCCAAGCCAGTGTTATATCCTCGTAACTAACTCGTTTCATATACTTTAATTGTTATATAAAGTGTCATACGGTGAATATAATGAACATTGTTATAGTCTTAAAGTCTATGATATGAATTAAATAAATCATTTCTTTTCATATTGGCTAAATAAATAAATTTGCTAAGATTGTTTAGAACTGATTCGTTGTTTGACTTAAGCATTTCTGTAAATTTGTACATACTGGGTCTTTGACAAAATTGACGTTTAAATGGATACATACATACATACATACATACATACATACATACATACATACATACATACATACATACATACATACATACATACATACATACATACATACATACATACATACATACATACATACATACATACATACATACATACATACATACATACATACATACATACATACATACATACATACATACATACATACATACATACATACATACAAACATACATACATACATCATTCCATGTCCGATACTTATAACAGTCGACATTTTTATTTATTGTATAACATACTTTCCATTATAGAACAAATCTTTTCAAATAGTCGTTTTTCTTGAATGTTGCCTTATGTTTTTCTATATCATTGATCCATTATAGAACAAATCTTTTCAAATATTCGTTTTCTTAAATGTCGCCTTATGTTGTACCATATCATTGATCAATTTTCAGTTATGCCAGTGCTTGATGGAAAAACTTTCAAGATTTATGCCAAAGAAAATAATGAGTTTTGGCATTATAATGGTGCAGGTAGCGCTAGGATTGTTTCATCACTAGCCCAACCGGATGATTCCTTTGTAAGATTCATCTTCCACAAACAACTTGATGGCTCATATAAAATAGAGGTTAGTTTATAGTTTTTACGAGGTTACTTATAGTTATTATAGAGGTTGTTGTATCAAATGCAGTTAATTTAAAAGTTTATTTATAGATTTAATTTTAATGATAATAATAATAATAATAATAATAATAATAATAATAATAATAATAATAATATTTGTAGAAAAACTATTATTTTTCTATTTCATTTACGTCATTTTATCATCATCATCATCATCATCATCATCATCAATTATCATCATCATCAGCAGCAGCAGCATCATCATCATCACCACCACCACCATCATCAACATCATCATTATAATTATTGTTATAAATATTATTACTATTAATCATTTAAATATCTGTCCATTTAAATACGTACTGCGTGCCATTATAACTATATTTTAACTTTCCCTAAAAGGGATAATTTAACTTGTTCAGCATTATTATAATTATTCATTTTTATGCTTTTAGTCTCTTGCAAGACCGGCATTTTATATGTACGACGGCTACAACGTTCAGGGTGCACCGTACACGTCATTACATGGTCGAGATATCGTTGATGACGACAACATGCGTTACATAGTTACCATGGTAACAGAAGATACCTGCAGGATACAGACCAAAGCATCAGGCCGTTATGTTCGTCTAGATGAAGACAAATATGTCACATCAAAGTTGAATATCATTGATAACAGATCGCAGCTTATTTTGTTAGAATCATAACTCTGATTCATTCGAGTTAATGAATGCCATCTTTTGAAATAATTTTTGTGTGTGATTTGTTTCTTTTTAGCATGAGAACATTGTTTCTGAGAGTATTGTGATCAGTTATGACATATATACGCTCGTGCATGCATATCATATGTGAATATTTACGAGCTTATTGTTCAATTGTTATAGAACTAATGTCAAAAATAGTTATTAAGTAATTTGTTTTGTGGACAATGAAAGGAACCCCGTTATACTAATGGCTTCATTTATACATTTTAATTCAATTGGGGAATATATACTGAATTATAGGATATCAAATTGTTGATTGGCAATATTGACCTGAAAGTAACTAATTTTCGGAAGTATTTTCGTTAGTTTCCGTTTACAAGGACGAATGTCTTTCGCAGATACATTTTCAAGTTTCGCAAAAATATTAAAGATAATGGTTCTTCATAATTTGAAATTTCAAAGTGAAAAACTTAACTCTTCGTCACTGAGACTAGTAAGACATGTGTTGAGTAAGTAACAGCGAGTTATACATAAACCATGTTTATCATTATTCCATACTTTAAAATCCTTAAAATGTACTTCGAAATCCGATAATTACCGACAAAAGGCCATTGCCTATTTAAAAGTCTCAAATCAATATTGCCATACAATACTTGCATTTTTATCGTTTGTTTACTTTATCACGGGAATATCATCGTGTCAGCAAATGCCGTCGTAATATTCTTTACTATAACTTTCAATAAACATCAGGATAACAACAACAAAAACCAACACCAATATATTATGAATATAAGACTTGGTGACATTTATTTAAGCTTTATTGAGAAGCAACTTCTTGCAACTTATATTATTCAGTTTACAGTCCTCTTGCTGGAACCAACCAGTGTGGTATCATTTAAAAAAAATGGTCGTGGTTGGGAGGCAGACACCTTAACAACTAGCAAACCTTTCCCCTTGAATATTGACTAAGATCATAACTGATTCAATATAAATTCTGATATTCTTATTTAAATTAATTTGAATTCGCTAAAGACATAGATAAGGCAAAATGTTCACGCAATTACACTAAGCCCTTGTATTTAAGTTAAGATGAAATAATGATAAATATACATTTAATGTAAGTTTACAAGGAAACATGCTCAAGCCGACAATCTCCGGACTGGGAAGCAAAACCTTAACCACCCAGTCAACATTATTTTCCATGAGTTCCAATTTTGTACTTTGAAAATGCTTTTCTTATCCACATGTGCATGCTGAAATTTTGTATGTATTTGTATTTACCCGTTTCCGATTTCTGCTAGCACAATTAATTCCTTTCGTTTTCTGCAAGAAAATCTAATCATTTCCGGTTTATTCTAACGAAACTTATTATTTCCTGTCCCAGCCGGTCATGGGTTGATAGTTATATATTATTTGAATTCAACGGCTGGGTCCGTGAAGCGGGCTCGGGCTTTGGTTTGCCCGGCTATAGACTACACGTGTATATTCAAAAAGTAATTAAATAAAAAAAATTAAGAATATGTAGAATTCTATACCTATCAATGGAATTTTCAGTACCATTTCCAGTTGAGCGGTGCATTTTTAATGCAACTCAATGATAACAGAACAATTGCCACATTTCGGCCTAATAATAATAGCGGAGGTGTTGCGATTAAATGTGCATGAAATACGGAATGACACCTTTAAAACTGAAGACGTAAAATAAAAATGAACGATGTTTTTACCTGACTTCCCCGTTCATAGGCTTTGTCTTCTTTCATATTAGTAAGAAAAGGAGAAAAAAACAACCATTGGGTAAGCATATTTATTGTCTATTTTATATTGTAAAACTTATGCATGCGATGCCATATTATTCATTCGAATATTTCTTAGCGTTTTGTTATAGGATATTGTAGTAAAGATATACATCTCTATAAAAAAGCAAGAACAAAACGCAATAAAAATGATTAACATTAATACAAATGCTTTCATATAGTCAAGCATATAAAAAATGGCATAACATAAATAAAGTTGAGCTGTCAATATATAAGACGACACAAGACCGACAAAAATTATTTGCTGTAAAATGACACATATGCTAGAAAAAAAACAACAACCAAAATGCGTGGCCCTTTCTAAAGGATATATGCCACTCGCTAGAATATTCAAATACTGTACACATGTGACATTATTATGTATTTTATTCTTTTCCCTTTTTCATTGGTCAGTTAGATGAGGACATAGTAATGCAAAACAAATAATAAATCAAGTAGTAAATACTCGTCACAATACATTTTAGTTTGAATTAAGATTTTACAGTATATCACATTTATATCCAAGGTTCTTGGATTTATATACCGAAAGGCAGTATCATAAGTAACATTTTCTCAACTTGACTAAACGTTTGAAATGTAAAGTATCTTTATTTGCCGGATTTGCTAATCGTCAATGGTTCTGAGAGGTCGACTGCTGGGCTTTCTTTAGGGATTCTGTATTTATCTATTTTATGATCACATCCGTGTTATTTGTGCCGTGTGACGGCTGTAAAAAGTCTCCCCGTACATTTTATCAATGATGTTATATTTTCGATCCTTGAAGATCGTTCAGCACGACATTATTGTTGTGCTTGTGGTATTTTTAATTTCAACTTTTCGGCATTTTCTAGTTGGGTGGTTCATATATTCCTACTTGAATAATGTTGAATCACCCTTAGGGTATGTTGCCTGCTTTTTAAATTTGTCTTTTGACGTCTTATCTGTGATATTCAGGCTTCATAACCTCTGATCCCCTTTAAAAATTCCATTTTAATTAGTTCCGCCCATTGTTTTCTCGTTTAGGGCACACGCTTTTTATTACTTGGGGACCATACGCCGCTTTTCATGGAATGGCACGGAAGTGTCACATTGAAGGTTCCATGATAACCGCCGTATGAACACATCTGCGGATGTTTCTAAATTCAACATTTTACTATTTCATGTTTAAATGTTGAATTCTGCTTAAGCCGGTGCTAGGGGGCGTGGACGGTAACTTGCACTTTCCAGTACCGTCCATGAATAGGCTCAATCATACCGAGCCTGCAACATTTTCAATTTTGTCGTGTTGCGCTTTCTTTAGGGATTCTGTATTTATCTATTTTACTACAATATGACGACGTGATAAGTGATATTAGTATGACAATTATACATTGCGAAACTACTAATCAGCAATAAAAAAATTGTCATTGTCACAATGCAATGTGACAATGCAACAACGCAGAACGACATGCGCCAATGCAAAGTGACCGCGCAAAATATCATAGAGACAACGCGAAATGAAAAAGTGAAAATTCAAAGTACATAATGACAATGCAAAATAACATTGCGACAATGCGACGTGACACGGCATTTATAAGCATGTGAGAACAAAACAGCGATGTAATTTTGCAATTTTGTGTCGATTTATTTTGAGATTAATGGTTATGTAGCTCCGCATTAATGAGTTGCCTTTACACATTTTCTTCAGGTCAAACTCACGAACACAGCGAACGACATTCTTAAAAAGACGCAATAACAGGACAAGCAATAGAAAGAGCATCGATACATGAGACTATCTGATGATTTGTACGGGGCGTAGTTTTGAAGTTCTTTCTCTTTTATACCCAACTCAAACATAAAAACACGTTCCCTGTTGTCACAGTATGAAACCCCAGAAAAAGTAAGCAATGAACGAGCATCTGAATATGATATTTCTTTCGCTTTCTTTTTCTCTGCTGTCAAAATAAGTAAACCCAAGCAAAAATGAGCCAATCAATGGGCATGCTCTGGAGTGCGGGTAACTGATACCTGCAGCCCAGTTAACGCACGGTGCATGTATATGTATACAATTAAACTCTTACAAATTTACAACAGAAAGGTCCCCAAATTATGAAACAACAGCTTTTTATGTACATGTATTTACACTCTTCCTTTAATTCATTTTTCCCCCACTCATCTCTATCTTGTAAAAATAGTGCTTCAATATGTCTTTAAACATGACATCAAGTGCTTAAATGACTCTTTACCTATGACAAAGGCTTATAAATTACCGTGTCAGCAATTCCAGCAGGAAAGGTTAACTGTAAGTGAAATGACCTTACTTAAACCAAGTAGATTTAATCTTCTTCTAAAACAATAGAAAAAATAATATTTATATTACAGATTATTCGGATTACAAGTGTTTATCATGATTAATCAAACTGAGTTAAGGCTGTAAACTGAGAACTTAAATTTAAGACACCGATTAAACAATTACTAGTAAGTCTAGAAACGAAAAATATTGTTTCATACATATCCTGACTTTGTACAGCATTTTTATTTTAGCCGTACGCCTGTACAAGAAAGCAATACCAAACTAAAAACAACAAAAACAACAAAACAGAAATAAACAAAAATAAATATGCAAGACAAAACATTGTTTGCAGTAAGTATAAGTTGAAAATCAACATTACAAAACCACTCGTTATTATCAGCGTCTTCACCAGTCATTAAATCTGACATCCGGTATTCACTGCGTGACATGCATTTTGATCTTTCACTGTAAAATATGATTACAACTGTCTTGTATTTTGTTATGGAATTGGTATACTTGTGTCTTTATACTTGACGTGACAAACATGACAGTTATACACCGTTGCGAAATGGTTTAGCGTTACATCATTAAATATCCAATTAGTTATTCAATATTGATTAAACTGAAAGGACGCGTGGCTCGATGAAACAAAAAAGACAGCGATTGCTATATATGACAGCCAGTGACAGGTAAATTAACTTTTTGTCTTTCAGGTGTGAATGAAGGCTATTCAATTATTGAGTAACGTGACATTTCTATTTTAAAGTTAAATCAATATTGCGTACATTTAAAATATTTCTTTTATAGCAGAGAACAGAGTTTATTTCATAACTTGTACACACATAGGTACATCGTTAATACAAGCATTTTTAAATATAATTATAGGTCACATATTTTACAATTACACATAAAAAAACCAAATCAATACAATACTGAGCAATGGGATATTTAATACATACAAT